ACCCTTGTTGTTAAAGGTGCACTAGAGGGAAACAAGGTTAATTCCTCCGTTTGTTGGCATCAGATTCCTTTGGCTTTGGGTTAAAGCGGATAGAGCACCATATATGGATTTTCTTTCCCCATCTCTAGTGCACTCTTTTAGGGTCGACTTTCTTACTTCACATTTTCGAAAATACTCGTGTCATGTAATTCTGTGAGAAGTTTGGCCATTCCTTTTTAGAACCGCAGGAAGTAACTCGTATAATCTCTTCTCGAAAATCTTTAGTTTCTCTCGAATTCCTCAATCTTTAGCTCTGTTTGTTTTTCGAATTCTTCAATCTTTAGCTCTGTTTGTTTCTCGAATTCCTCAATGTGTGATTTCTCCAACAGGTCAACGCAAAATACAGCGAAGAGCAGGCCGCCGAGTGCTTGGAATGGATCGCCATCATCACAAGCGCCGACATCAACAAGTCTGGAGACGCCGACAATTTCTACGAAACCTTGAAGAACGGACAGCTGTTGTGCCAGTGAGTGTTTGGCGCCGGCACGTTCACTCTTTATAATATGATTTAGGGTTGAGGACGCTTGATTGGGTATTGGATTTGTGGAATTTGGTTTCACAGGTGTTTTTTATTGACTTTTATATATTTTTTACTTTTCTTTGCTTTGATATCTTATTAATGTGTTTGTTTCAAGTTTTCTTCATCGTTATGATCGGTGATTAGAAGGGGGACTCACTTATTTACTTTGCTCTCAACAGGGTGATTAACGCCCTCAAGCCCGGTCAGATCAAGAAGATCCAGACCTCCGCCATGGCCTTCAAGTGCATGGAGAACATCAACGCCTTCGTGGAGGGTGCTAAGGCCTGCGGCGTCCCCACTCAGGAGACCTTCCAGACTGTCGACCTTTGGGAGCGACAGAACCTCAACTCTGTTGTTATCTGCTTGCAGTCTCTGGGAAGGAAGGTGCGTGGAAATACGTGATGCCATTTGTAATTGTCTGAATATTGCATGTCCATTTATGTGAGGGAGAGTGCATGAGTGCACTTTGAAATTTGTCCCGAGTATAATTAATTATTTGTAGAGATGTTTTTTTGGTTAAAAAGTATGATACCCATTAAGGGTTTGGCATGAGGATATGCAATATTAAATTCAATATTATTAATGCCAATATAAATGATGATTCTTTGTAGAAATTGTAATCAAGAGAGAGAGTGTACATGAAAGAAACATAAATACAATGTTTTATTTTCGTCTTTCAGGGATCTCAGTTTGATAAGCCTTCCATTGGCCCAAAAGAGTCTGAGAAGAACGTCCGCCACTTCACCGAGGAGCAGCTCAGGGCTTCTGAGGGCATTGTCAACCTGCAGTATGGCTCCAACAAGGGTGCCACTCAGTCTGGCATGTCCTTCGGCAATACTCGCCACATGTAAAAGCAATCTTTGTACACTTTCACTTTCACTTCATTTTTTTTTTTTTTTTTTTTTAAGTAGTTCAACATAATTCATCATGCTTCTAATATGTTCCAATAAATGATAGCGGGGAGGATTTCTTTTATATATAAAAATAAAAACAGAAAAAAATAAATTGGCAGTGGTATGCCTAAAACAGGAATTTGTATAACGGTAAAGAAATTAATGTAAAAAACGGTAAAAAATCTGACATGTATCACATGTCCAATAGGTTGCTTCAGTTTTAATTTCATTGCATAGGAACTGGTAATAACGAAGCTGTCTCAGAACCGAAGAAAATGCTTAAAAATTCTCACTGATACCAGGATGAAATATTTTAGTGCAAGCTGATGAGTAGCACCATTGGCTCATTCCTAAATTGACACATTTTCAATACACGTCATATTTTTGTTTTATCGAAAATTAAAGGCGTAGATACAGTATCAAAGAAAGATTATCCATCCAGGCTTTTTTCATATTTTACTAATTTGTAAGCTTATTATAGTACAATTTATACAGATATAAGTGTTATACATTATGCAGTATAAAATGTATTTAAATGTTATTCTATGAAAAAGAAATTCATATATATGAAAAGTATTCCTTATTTATCATAGTTGCAGCTCACCTGTAGCAATATAGTGAAATGAATATTGTTTCATTTTTCTTTTCTTTTTTATTGGAGTCATATTCTCTTTATTTTACTTTACCATTGTATGTGTGGTATGAAGTTTAATTTCTTTTCCAAATAGAGAAATTATAGTCTTGTTTGAGCTGTCACATTCCAGTTTGAGAGAAATTTTGTATGGAAATGAAATAAAAAGTTCAATACTGTTCAGGGACTGATTATCCTTTTAGTACCGTCGGTACGACTGACGAGTGATTAACCTATACAGTATATCCTGTGTTTGAGCGTGACAGAATTAACCTATAAGATATTATATTTACCCATTGATGAGCCATTACTGTAAACAAGAACTGAATCTGATCAATAATGACTGCACATTATTAATTAATGGAAGTCATTGCTACTAAAAATGGTTGTATCTTGTATGCAAAACTAATAGGTTTATAAAAGTAAGCATATATGATCTGCTTAACTAGGCTTTGTTGAAAATAAGATTGTTACTGCTGGTAATTGTTCTGATAATAGATTTTGGACTTGAAAGAACTTTTTAAATTTTGTCAAGCAATCAAATTTATTATGAAGGTTTCTGTTGACTCAGACTTGTTACCCAAATGGTGAATATTGATGTTACCCGATCCTTATTATTTAATTAGAAAGCAAGTGGGCTCTTTACAAGGTTTATTCCAATCTTTTCTCTGCATTAGCACATTTATTTTCTTGTCATTATTACTTACTTTTCTCTGCATTTGAGAGTCTGAAGGAGTCAAATTCCCTGTGCTCCAAACTTCCTTTACTGGCTAAATTACCCTTTTTTTTAATGTTACATGATTGATTCAGTTATTATGTATCAAAGTTCATGATATTCATGGTACTTTTAATACAGAATGATGCAACAATATTGGTTCAAAAGCACTATAACTAAACACTTTTCCATCATCCTTGAATTCAAATCGTATACAAATTTCATGGCTCTTTTGGTTCTTATCCTTTATCCAGGGAAATAAACATGTTATATTAGATTTTTTTCATTGTGTTCATGAGCCATGATTTTCACTGAATATTAGTTGCAAAACACCCTTAAAGATTCAACTGTTTAGGGGATAATTTTCCAACCTTGCAGGTTATTGATAGCTGGCAAGTTATTAGTCATGGTTTATATAAAGCCCAGTGAGGGTTTACGACATCTTGGAAATTGTCTACCAGTCAGTCTAAACTTATTGCAGGCTTTTATAAAACCTTGTTCTTTGTTGTCTGCATTAAGGGGCAATAAAATCCTACTCTTGTATTAAATAAGTTTTAAATCTCGGTGAGTTCAATTGCAGTCCCAGTAGTTTCCCTTCTAGCAAAATTACGTTCAGAATGGTTAAAAATCTTGGATGCCATTTGTCACTACTAATTTTCTTTTTCTTTGCTTCATTGTAGTACTCTATTCTTGTTTGTTCTTGCAATCATTCCTATTTGACTTTGCTTTACACTGTCCAAAAGCAATGCAGAGGAGAGGAGAATTTACAGTACTGCCACAGCAGGACTCATCCCTATACCACATATATAATAAACAAGAATTCCTTCCACTACTGTCACTCTATTGACATGAAACTACAATCTGCAATGGGCCAGGCTCATCTCAACTTGCAATAGGGTTTATTGATTTGCCTAAGCCAAAACATTTAAGGTCCTCCTACAAGCCTCCACTGAGGATTATTTCAAACACTGGGTGGCAAATCCAGACGTTTCAGGTTTCTGATTAATAGAACACTAGAGGGTTGCTTTCTCCAGAATCGGTGACACATTTCCTACCAAGCAGCATATTGCTTCCATTTATGTTGAAAGACATTTTTAAAACTTATTTGCAACTCAAAATATTTTCAGTGCTTCATTACCAGCAATTACCATAAGATCTTGAAGGAAAAAAGTCAATGTTTTACAGTGCTTCTTTATTCCAGAATTTCTATTTTTAAGAAATATTTTAATTCACAGACTTTTTCACAATTTCTTACAGTGCCTATCAAAAAATAAGCAGCTGCTTCTGAATTACAGTTCCATTTCTTTGTATGTATGTACTTTGATATGCTTGAATAAAAAATGTATATAAGGAATATATAATTTCTACAGAAAATGGGCTGAAGAACTCATAAACTTGTATTTATAAAAAAAAACTACTTTACAAAAGTAGCATATTAAAAGAAGCCTATGGCACTTCGTAACTAATGGTTACCTGCAGTATAAAAGTATAGAACAAAATGCTAATAACTAATATGCTCAAACTATTTACAAAATTAAATAATCTTATTTATGTTCTCTCTAAAAGTAAACTTTCATAGACAAAGATTTAATTTCTATATGTTAATCCTATGCACAATATAAAATTACACACAAAATAAAAACATATGTAAGCAAGAGGCTGTACAGGAAAATGCATTTGTTTTATTAACAAAGAATTAAAATACAATAATTATAATTCTATACCAAACATTTAGAATGATATGTGAAAAAATACAAGGACCATATATCAAAAACTTTTCTAGGAATAGAAACAAAGGAACTATCTGTTTTCCCCAGTGAACAAAGAACAAAAATTGCTGGAGAATATATGGCACAGATATGGCAATCAAAGTTGTCTCTCCTGATATAAAACACAACAAAAAATAAAGTTGTTTTCACTTGCTTTTACATAAATCTTAGTATCATAATATAATATCAAACTATTTGTTAAAGCTTATTTCTACAAATGAGATTGTCGATTAGAACACACATTAAAATTGGTAATTACTAATGTTACTGAGTATATACTCACATTTATTGTTACAAAAAAATGGCAATTATGGCAACAAGTCATGAAATCTATCATCGTGTTTACTTTCCAATAAAAATTATGGAACATGCTTTTTTCGCAAACAATACTGCACTTCAATAAATGTTTGGCTTTTCTTTCTGTTTGCCAAAACTTTGATCCAAGTTATATGCAAAGAAAACCATGTTGCACTCAAAATGCTATAAATCTGCAATACTGAGTGATTGGCTCATAAAACCTTTTATAGTCAGTATATCAAAAACCCAATGTTTTTATCATTCTGGTATGGCTATTCTACATGCAACCTCATTAGTCGTCCCACAAGCAGAGCTGACGTTGTGGTACAAAGTAACTGAAATTACGGCACTTCCGACAGGTTCTGATGCCACAACGGTAGGACACTGCTTTACCAGAGTTGTCTCTTCCTTTGCAGTATTTCAGGCCACAGGGATACCAAGCAATGCATACCTAAAATCAAAAGAACAGGTTTTAGGTAATTTCCACCCATGATGAATTACTCAAATGAACATGTTAAATGAGAAGAAAAATATGAGAATGCCATAAAAATGAATTTCAAATAGTGGTAGTTTATCTGAAATATTTACACTACATTTTTAGGGGATGACTCCCCTATACTACAGGTATTAAAGATTTTTGTTCTTGCTGGATTTGAAGGTTCTCTTTTTTTAATGCTTATAATATCATTACTTTTATCCTCATTACTGACATTATGATTTTTATAATATCCAAATACCTATAACAATAAAGAATATATATGCCTTTCTAACATATCTTAATAATCAAATAATTCAGATTATCAACAAAAAATATCAGAAAAAAGTTTGATGTTATGGGCATGGTAATTGGTTACTAAGTAATTGTGGGGCCTTCAATATGTAACATAATCAAAACTATGGTAGACAGTACATGAATCTGGTGCCAGATTACACACTACTACTACTACTAACAATCCATTACATGGACTGAAAAATTCCAAAACTTATGAATTATCAAATGACCATGAAGAAATTATCAAATTTCCCTAATCTACTGTCATGTTTCATAAATACATCTGCTATGTATACCTGCATCTTAAAGTGAAAACTACTAAATTTAGCTATCTAGTACTGTTCTGAAGCAGGTGAAGTTACTGTGTTAACTGAAGCACATAATAAACCTTATATTACTCACTTGATAATGACAGGCACAAGGGCTTGAGAGATCTCTACCCCCATCAGCACAGCGAGCAACACCCCTTGTTGGGAGGTGGTGTGTTGCATCGCTGACTAGAGACCAATCGCCATCTAATTCTGCAAATAAAAAATGGACTTATGAAAAGAATTGCAGAAAAATAGCTTTTAAAATATCACTGATGCTCGTAACAAATAACTTTCTATCTTTAAACAAATGCTTTATTGTAATGAAACCTGTAAACAATCTAGACAGTCAACAATATATATATTGCATGCATATATCTCAAACATATGATATGACTTAAAAATCATAGCTACCATTAAATAACAGAGACAAAATGCTTTTTTTTTTTTAAAGGAAACAAGAACTAGAAACGAAAGCAAGATACAAGGATGAATAAATAAATTAGATAATACAGTAGCTATAAATATGATATAAAAAGTCAAACACATGCAAATATCAGACAGAAAGAATGAAAGAATGAAAGAAAGAAAATAAGAAAAAAGGCATAAGGCATATCTGTTAAGCCCCATTTGAAAATGCTTTGGGTTTATCTTAATGGAGATCAACTAATATGTGATCTGCCTACAAAAGGTTGTTCTCCTCTATACCTCTTTTCTTAACTTATTCTAAACATTTTCAAATACAATGTCCTTATTTCCTGCATGAAGTCTTTTTAACCATCTTGAAAGTGAAAGAGAAAAGAAGAAGACAGAGAGAAAAGAAAAAAAATCTTCCTTAAAAGTGAAAGAACATGAAAGAGCAAAAGGAAAAAAACAAACTCTGTAGTGACACGGAGCAAACGCAGCACTCTACCTCTTCTCTGTGTTGCCCAAAGTTTAATGTCTCTGTCAGAGGCATAAGTAGACGTGCTGGCCAATGCACACATGTGAGGGATGTGTGGAGATAGAATACCTGCTCCGGCAACATCCACACTTACGTCCATCTCTACTTCTTCAGTGCCACGGTCTTCTTCTGGTGATCTTACTGTGCCAGGATTTTTCTTTAAAAAAAAGAAGAAAAAAAAATTATATACATACCCTAAACATTTTAGCTGGATGCATATTCTTGCACAATTAGGTGCTCTAGTAGCCATACACAAAAGTTAAAAAAAAGAGCTCTCTATGTTAGGTTTCCTAGCTTTTTGTTCTAAACCACTTTAGTCCTTTGTGGATTCCTAATCCCTATGTATTTTATAAGTAAAATATGTAATGTATACGCAGACAAATATAAGGGACCTAAGATGTTTACAATATCACAATATAAAAAAATATAGCATAAAAAAAGAAAAATGAGAGAAAAGACACTTCAAGTTTTAAAGAAATTGAAGAGTAGATTATTTATGAAACTAAGTCAAAGATCTGTCTTCCCTAAAAAATTGTAAGAAAATAGAATACACTTTTGAAAAATGGATTAGCAAGCAGAAATCTTACAATGAAACATCAACAACAACAGACTGACACAAACAAATATTTCAAAGACTTTGTGACTTACGAATCTTTTTTCAAATAATCTTTTTCAAATACTGAAAAATGAAAGAAAGAAAAAAACAGCAGATAACACTATTGATGATTAATAGATTAGTCTAAGTCATTCACACTAGGTAAAATTTCCCTTAAGTGCTGGGGTATATTAGGGTGTTCAACTGGTCTTGTGTATGCACAGGTCTGGCTGCAAGCGTGGCTATCTGGGGGGAAGCTAGTGATAACACAACTGAGAGCATGTTTTTCCTTGGGTATCTCCGAGCTTTCTAGAGTGCAGTTAAGGAAATTATCAATATCTATAAACTTAAACAAAAGTTATATTAGAGATGTTATATAAAACATTTGTAGTTAATAATCACAAAATTCATTTTTTGTTACCAAAAACAAATAAACAAGAAATGGCTAATTTGAAACTGAGGATCTACACTGGCATCGATGGCCCGTCAGCCTATTGTTAATAATTTTGAATCAGTAAATTAGTTTCCGTGCTTCTTTCTTCAAAAATATATACGCTGTGAAACACGAAACTAAGATGAAACAGGGAATAAGTCATTGAAGAAGACAAGGCTAGCTTAATCACACCATTAGTAAGCACTGTTCTGTGCCTGGGTGATTGGCGAGGCTTAAGGATAGACTTATAAGCTGTCATCCTAGACACCTTGAAATGGACTCATGATGTGATTAGACGTCATCCAGCATCTGTTTTTTTTTTGTTTTCACATGATGTAGTCTTCCATAAACATGGTAGAATATGGAACCTTTTATGAGAATCCAGTTCTCTGTAGGTGAGAAACTGGTCCTCTAATTGGTAATAACTGTTTTTTTTTTCATTGTAATCTTATGTATACTACAAATCAAAAATATCTATTCTTGATAGTCAGTCTATCTTCCCAGCAGTCAACTGCAGTTTCTTCCAAGTATTTTGGTTGAACATATAAATTAATTGTAAGATCTATAAGAAAAAAAATTGTTTTTTTCATCTAAAAAATAACAGTATAATAAACTAAAACAAACTGTTCATAACTCTTGACAAGAGTATTTGTCTTTTAAATCAATATTGTTTGTATTTTTAATTGGAGTATGCTATAACAGAAAAAAGTACTTACTTGTCTTAACTTGGACATGGCATCTGAGGATATGAAATTATTCTTAAAGAACCTCATAATGAAGCACATGACTTGAAACTGACTTTGTCCTAATTCCTCCTCTCCCAAAACAATCACCTTGAAGATCTGCAGCTCCTACAAAAACAAAAACAAAAAATTAGCAAAATTAATAGTAATTCAGGAAGATAAGCGATTCAAGTTTACATGACCACCAAAGATGGATGATGCCACAGAATGGTAAGTGTAAGAGAAGAAAATGAAAGATGCAAGATGAGGTAACGCCTGTTTGTAATACGGGTCACTTGGATCGAGAAATGTGTCAGAATTTGTTTGTTCTGAGCACATATGTCAAGAATTGATATACTGGGTAAAGCAAGAGGATACAAGCTTTTTTGAAGATGTTATCCCACAAAAGGTTTGGGTAATTCTGGGGGAAGTAGGTCAAGTTTTTACATGCAGTTATTTTTCTGGCAATGGAATAACCTAAAAAAGTTAATAAACAAAACACAGTAGAATGATCAAAACATATAAATGTGCCAGACATCAAAGGTCATATAGCACTATTATAAATCACAATGGGTAAAAATTAATTAACAATTAATATAAATTGTATATATCTATCTATATATATCTATATATATATCTATCTATCTATCATCTATCTATCTATCTATCTATCTATATGCACACACACACATACATTATATATATATTCATACATATGTCTATTATCATATGACTTAGGATTCTCGTAACCCTGTCTTACATTTGAGACAGAGTTGAGACAAGTTTCGGCAGTTGAGAATATTTTGAGACAGTCACCACAGAACTTGAGTCATTTTTCCAGTCTCTGACGAACCAATGTAAACAAACTACCAACAAATTTTTATGTCAGACACTTTTGAGACTGATTCAAATTTTATTCCCAGAATTGTCCATGAACGTTTGTGGAAAACGGCCTAGATGATTAACCAATGGAATACCATGCCCATTGCTCTCGGAGGCCCTTCAGGACAGACACAAAGCCAGCTTTTCATCCTTTCAGCACGACTCTCACACCTTAGGAAGTGGACAGAAAAATGGAATGAAGAAGAGAAGGAAAATGAAATAGGGAGAAGAAAAGATCATGCAAAATTTGTTGAGGCAAGGGCTGAGGTCCAAGGTTGGGATGATCCCCAACATTGGGCCACAGTCTCCATCTCCTAAGCCCCCCATAACAACAATGAGCAAGGGACTAGGGGGGAAACACAGTAGAAGTATTGTTGAAAAATAATAAACACAGAAATAAAATTAAATCATGTATATTGATAACGACTGTAGTGAGTGAGTGATATCTGATGAGATAAGATTACACTGCACAAAGCAGTTA